GTATCACTGTTTTCACTGTTTTTATTAAACCAAGAGATTTCTTTCTGACTCTTATTTGAGGGCACCACCACCGCCACTTTTACTTGAGTTTAGGTTTACTTAAGCTCTTAGGCAAATAGAAAAGTGAGTGGGAGGGTTTTTAGGCTCAGTCTGCCTTCATGGTTAATGAGAAGATGAATTATAAACTAGAGAAGGGATTCAAGTGAATAGTGCTCAGAGAATGGCCTGCCTTTGCTCTGCTCTTTCATATAGTTTATGATGCCAACGTTGCTAGAATTTACTCTAAGAGTAAATTTTTAGGGCTTCTGTGCTCTTTAATCACACAAATACTATGTAGATCACAGAGCCCACTGTAGTTTTTTAAATCAGCCACATTTACATGGGGTGAGGGCTTCCCCCACCCCCCTTCTTCCTTCCCTCTCATCCTATTGCAAAGAGAGACCATGTCTTCAGGGGAATGTACCTTAGGCTCCAGTAAGAGCAGCAGGATTATATAGAGAACACCTTTAAAGAAAAAAAGATTAATAATTAGGCTTATAGGGGAATTGATGTCTTTACATTAAGTACTGCTCAGAAGGAACAGTAATAGTCCTCCCCGGTGTGAGGCATTTGAGGTAGAGGAGATAAAAGCCCTGTCTCCACCCCCACCTCCCCAAAAAGTGATTACATCATCCCCACGCCCACCCAAGCAGTATTAACACAATAAATCCCAGGATGGGTTCACCGGTGAGAATACTTTGCCAAGACAGCTCTCCCCCTCTGCATTCTGATATGTACGGCCTCTTTCTATTTGGAAGACAGCTTACTTACCTTGACCAGTCTTGTTAGGCAGGAACATTAAAATTCTCATTAATGATGTTGACAGTTCTGTTGATTATTTCTGCTAACAGACCTCTTCATTCCTGTTAAGAATTTCCAGCGTTAGTCCATAAAGTGTAGTTTTGACTTGGCAATGTTTGGTCGAGGAGGAGAGCTTGCCTATGTATTTCCTTGTACTTGAGCTTTCTAATGTGGTACACTTGTGACAGTGTTTGAGTTTTTACGTAGGACTGAGATTAAATATCCAGAGTCCTTTCTGCTTTTAATACATATGGGAGGTATTTAAGGACTGTAAAATATACCTTAAATATACCGTTTTCATGCATTTGTAAGATTTTTAAACCAAGGAGTGATCGGGCTATCTAAAAACCCAGATGCACTAGGGGAAAAAAGCTACGTGCTGCAGCATATCAGCTTTTGTCACCCTGCCAAGAGCGGAGCGTACCAAGCTGCAAGGAGTAATAAAAAGGGAATTAGAAAACTCACTGCTGGAGGAGAACAGTCAAATTAAACAGCTTTTGGAAACGATGAGCATGTATACGTTGCAGTTCTATTAAATGTAGCTTAGTGAGGTTGGGGTTGTGCTAAGGCTGATACAGAAGAGAAATAATGAAGCAGGAGTGGTCTGGTGACATTTTTCTGACTTGATTGGCTGGGCTGTGTGATGTAATAGGTTACAGTGCAGCCCCTTATAGGTTTTAAAATGAATTCCAAGACACCATTACAAAGAAGGCCGGACTCTTTTCTTATAACTGAGCTCAGCCAAGGAAACTCTCGCACAAATGTACAACACTGTTTGGAATATGGAAGACCTGGATTTAGAATATGCTCAGACAGATATAAATTGTGGCACAGACTTGATGTTTTATATAGAAATGGATCCGCCAGGTAATACTGCAGTATTCTTGTAGAAAGCTAGTTAATTTTGTGGCTTTTTTTTTTTTTTTGGACAAGTCTGTAATAGAGCCTCTTTAGATTTCTATTTTTATTAATTTGTTCTAATTTAATAATAATTCATTTGATCATAGCCTGTGGAAGCAGGCAGATCAGATTGTATGTGGTAAATGCTTATTCTTACTTGAATGGATATGAATGGAATGCCCGTTTTTCACTGGTGTCTTTTGTTAAGATCTTTTGCTTTTTGGGTTATATTGTTGTATAGCGTTCCTGTAATTGAATTGATGTCTCCTTTGTGCTGCTTTTCTCTGTTGCCAATGGAGGAGAACAGTGTGATACTTTGTGGGGATAGCACTTGGTACTTTAGAAAGCATGTAAAATGTAGCAATGATTGCAACTCAGTTCTAGGTGACCGGAAACTATTCTAAATCAAATTTTGAGATTTTGCCTCCTGTCTTAAGATACTACATTAGGATACTATAAAGAGAAAAGAACTTGGCTGTCCATTCCTTAGTCCTAGTCTTTATCACATAGTCTTTTGATAGACTTCTGAAATAATTTTACATAAATTAAAATCGTAACTGTGCTTTAAAACTTATGACTTAGAATTTAGCTAAAAAAAATCCTGGGTTTATTGTGCTTTCTAACTTATTTTATCCCTATGTTATTAGCCCATTTCCCAATGGAGAAATTTCAGAAATACCACAGCCTTTCATTTGTCACCAATTGGTATATGAATATTGATTTGACATTGAGAAAGAGGAATATAGTTTTTAATCAGCTGACATATAGAGAGGGCAATTTCTCCAATAAAAAATTAACACTAAAGAGATTTAGGTCAGGGATGAGTTTCTTAGAGTGGCTTTTGGCAGAACAGTGCCTGAAATATACTAACTCTCCTCTGAAAACATATTGCTGTAGGTGAGCCTCTACCACACCAGCATTTGTGGAGGGCAGAAGCCAAATTTGTCTCTCTTAATTAAATAGGAGGAAATTAAAGCCAACCCATGTGATTCCTCCTGCTCACTGTGCATGCATGGTTTCTGACTTCAGCTGGATTTGACCAGGCATGCAACTTGAATATAACTAGAACCTAGAAGTAGAAAATGGCACAACTCTGGATTTACTCTGAAATCCACATTTATTAATCTCCAAGCTGTTTTCTTCAGTTTCTTTTCTCTTTGAGCTGTACTCTGAAAGATTTCTGATTTTTTTTTTTAGAAGAAAACAATCTTGCATGTTTCATGGAATTCTGAATTATTGCTGTATGTCACACTCTACTTTCATCCAAAGAAATTAGGTCTGTTTTAAAATGTTAGTTTGGGGTTGCAAACAACTTTTTCCTTTCTCCTTAATCTACAGCACTGCCTCCTAAACCACCAAAACCTACTACTGTGGCCAACAACGGTATGAATAACAATATGTCCTTACAAGATGCTGAGTGGTACTGGGGAGATATCTCGAGGTAAGGCCACAGAAACGCTTAGTTTTCACTAGCGATAGGGAGTTTTAGGGTAAGAGAAAGAAAAGCACCAGCTTGCTAAGTTCCATTTTTGGGATATCATCCAATATAAGCATTGAAGCATACTGGATTCCCTTCCAAAGGCTACCAGAGAAGTCACTGAGACGCTGGAGAGCTGTGGGTGCTGGTGCCACCGGAAATTACACACTGAGAAGTTCGATTATTGACAGATGTCAGGGAGGCACCGGGACGAGTGGCCCTGCCCAAGGCAGCGTGCAGGCACTCCTGTCACGCAGAACTCTAAGAATTCATACGATTATCTCACACACAATACAATAAAGTGGCATTTTTATTCTTAGCTTTTTGTTTTTAAGCGGGGAGGGATGGGGAGGAAACCTTTTTGGGATCATGATTTGCTGATTTGTTAGCATCTTTGGTTAAAAAATAAAAACGTGTACCACAGTTATATGGACAGTGAAAGTAGGTTTTGTGTTTTTTTTTAACTCCCATGCACCTGTTTATAATGAGATGGAGTTTCTAACATTTTTTATATAAGAATAAATTGCTGAGCTTTGAAAATGTAATTAATAAGTATAAATCTATAGGGGAAGGGTGTTAGAGGCTTTTTCTGTACTTTCTGCTCAGTTTTGCTGTGGACATAAAATTGCTCTAAAAATTAGATAATCACTAAATCCTTGAGGTAAGCCCTGTCTTGTGTTCTTTTCACATCAGGGAGGAAGTGAATGAAAAACTCCGAGATACAGCTGACGGGACCTTTTTGGTACGAGATGCATCTACTAAAATGCATGGAGATTATACTCTTACACTAAGGTGAGTCAGGGAATGGAGGTAAAGCCGGGGTGGTTCAAGTTGACATTAAAACACATTTCTTTAAAGGAAATTGTATGCCATTACATTCATATTGTATTTACAGGAAAGGAGGAAATAACAAATTAATCAAAATATTTCACCGAGATGGGAAATACGGCTTCTCGGACCCATTAACCTTCAACTCTGTGGTTGAATTAATAAACCACTACCGGAATGAATCTCTAGCTCAGTACAATCCCAAGCTGGACGTGAAGCTACTCTATCCCGTATCCAAATACCAGCAGGTAATCAAATGCTCACATCGTTAATGTCATTTAAATAAGGTACTTTCAGTGCTTAGAAACACGTAGAAGCAGATGAATTGCATGTAATGAAATTTGAAAAGCTTTGTACTTGTAATCACAAAATTACAATTTCAGAGTAGTTCAATAAAATACTCTAAGGATTTTTCCACGTCAGATATTTGGTTAAATAGTTCTTAATTGATTACATACCTTATCCATTGAATTGCTTTTTCTTCTGCTCTCTCTAATCCTTCTAGGATCAAGTTGTCAAAGAAGATAATATTGAAGCTGTAGGAAAAAAATTACATGAATATAACACTCAATTTCAAGAAAAAAGTCGGGAATATGATAGATTATATGAGGACTATACCCGTACTTCCCAGGTGAGTTTTCTGTGAAAATCACATTATAATTTTAGAAGTGTTAGTTATTAAAACCTAACGCATATTAGTCAGCTTCAAAAACAGAATAAAAAGGTTGAGTTTTTACAGCACAGTGAGGTTGAGAGCTCATTTGTTTGTGAATCATTGTGGATTATTCTAGTAATTTATTCATTGTATCTCTATTTGTAAATGAAGCCTGTAAGTATCAGAATAGTAAGTTTACAAGAGAAAGGAAGAGGTTACTGTGAGTTTTAAGTTGATTTGACACCATTCTTGACGGAAGAATTATTTTTAGATTGGAAGGTCCACAGACTTGTGGAACTTGGCTAATATCAGAAATAGGGATTTAACCATCGGGACCGGCAGGGGGAGTAAAGGGCAAGATGGATGTCATGAATTGCTGATAAAGTGGCATGATTTTAACCAAGATGAAAACTTAGGAAACTGTCAGGTAGTCGTTTTCCATGGACTGGGATAATTCCCAAAGGAAGTGTGTGCCTTTGTGATAGTGTTTTAGTGATTCTATGAATTAGAGTTCCACCTTGCTAACAAAGTACTTAACGTTCTAGATAATCATAATGGGAGTCTCACAATAAGAAATCACCTGTTCTACCAAAGGTGTGACATGGTCTTACTAATATTGTGTTGCAGGAAATCCAAATGAAAAGAACAGCTATTGAAGCATTTAATGAAACCATAAAAATATTTGAAGAACAGTGCCAAACACAGGAGCGCTACAGTAAAGAGTACATAGAAAAGTTTAAACGTGAAGGCAATGAGAAAGAAATACAAAGGTTGGTCAGAGGAGTGTTCCTTTGTTCTGCTAGAGATAACCAGGATATTCTTAAACTGCTTAAAAATGATCTTGCTTTCTGTGCTGTGCATATTTAGAAAACCACGGGAAGGGGAAGCAAAGCATTCCTTGCCTTAGGAAAATGGCTGGGGCTCCACAGGGAGCCTTTTCATATAAACTGGGGGATACCTTCATGATGAACTCGGGTGATCACAGGTGCGTTTCTCTTGCCTGCAGGATTATGCATAATTATGAAAAGTTGAAGTCTCGGATCAGTGAAATTGTGGACAGCAGAAGAAGACTGGAGGAAGACTTGAAGAAACAGGCAGCTGAGTATCGGGAGATTGACAAGCGCATGAACAGCATTAAGCCCGACCTCATCCAACTGAGAAAGACAAGAGACCAGTACTTGATGTAAGTGGTGGGCACGGGACCCGCCAGGGAGTGACTGCCAGCGGCTAAAATTAAGGCTAAGTTCTGAATGCGTTTTCTCTCTGAAATCCTTTTTCAGGTGGTTGACTCAGAAAGGTGTTCGGCAGAAGAAGTTGAACGAGTGGTTGGGCAATGAAAACACTGAAGAGTAAGTCGTTACCACAGATGGAGGCAGCAGGGTGTATTTTTTTCATTTTAGGAAAATGCATGACTTGCCTTATTTAGAGAACAAGTGAGGAATTTTACTGAGTTTGGAACATCTTGTAGGAGAAAATGTATAAACTCAGTCTCATTATCCAGAATATTTTAAAGGGAGAGTTTAGGAAGGGAAGATACAGGACACCCCCCCCCCCCCATTCCAACACTGTGTCCACAATGATGTCCCAACATATTTTTGGAACAATTTAAAAAAAGGACAGAATTAGGCTTAGTATGTTTTTGAAGCTTATGTTTTGTTTTAATTATTTGAAAGCTGGC